TAAAAAGTAAAAATAAAGAATACAAAACAAAACTAAAATATACTAATCAAATACCTTAGTTCACAAAAAACTAATCCATGTAAAATAATTGGCTTCAAAAATGGTAGAAATGAGGGGAAAAAATGAAACCGTATTAATATCCATGTACCATTGAAGTCACAATCATAGAAAAAGAATAAAAACAAGTAAAAATCTTCATGAAAAGTTAAAGAATTCTTTTCATAGCAGTTCAAAAATATTCTCGGCTTTCCTTTTCAACAGTATTAGGTGGGGTTGTCTGGAGTGTGATACTTGCTCACGCTCGGGGTGGAGTTGCTAGAGTAGGAGAGGTAATTCCACAGGGAGAATTCTTGGAGGCAGTGCTTGAGTTTAGGCAGGTTCTATGCTGTTTGTTGAATTCAGTTGGTCTAGAGATTTCTCCACTGCCAAATACCTGCTTGTCCACACTGGAAGACTGTACCCTATGGATCTCCCCTGTGTTCTACTTGTGTGATGGGCGAACCAGTTCTTAGTCCCCTATGACACCTGCAGACCCCATGTTTCTGGTCTCGGGTTCAGTCTCCAAACAATCTCTACTGCCTCCCCCCGACCCTTCTGAGTTCCCAGCCAGATGTGTCTCTCCCCTCAGGTCCTGTAAGTAGTGGGATTGGAGTGGGACAGTTACATCTGGGTGGGTTTCTACAACCAATTGTCCCCTGTGTAAACCTCTCTCCACATTTGATTTTTCTCCTGATCAATTACACATACTCTTTGTTGTGCAGTGTCTGTTTACTGGATCTCTATTTCAGGCCACACTCAGGCTTGCCAGGAATTGCTCCATCAGCTACAGCTGCAAAATGATTCCTTCCTTTGGCTGTTTCTTTTCCTGAATACATATATCATGCACTGTGTCTTTCAGGTTTATTGGGCAATATCCTTGGTCTTTAAACCTTCTGTACCCTGATAACCCTTAGGCCTCCCCCAAATGAGGGTTCCCTTAATTTCCTTATCCCTCTACTATGATCTCAGAGGGACCTCTCTGGCTGGAGCTTCTGGCTTGGCTGCTGCAATGGCTATGCTGTTGGGGTTTTTTCCTTCTTTTATTATATCCAACCTCCTGTGTCCCCAGTCTTTATTGAATGTCCAGTTTAAGTTCCACTAAAGTCCGTCCCCCCCACTTTTTTTTTGTTCAACCACCTTGCGCAGAAGCTGCCTGTCATTTTCTTCGTTTCACAACACAGAGCAGCCAGGAATGAGACCTTCTCTATTTTGCCATCTTCTGCTGACCTCTGCCCCAAAGTTTTAATCCCCCCCACTACATCTTTCAGGGTAGAGAATAGTATTCCTAAATGATCAGGTTTCCACCCATCTCCCAAGAATCAAAAGTCACAGGAAAGTATAGTACTGGTTCCCGGAAATAGGGATTGGCCCTCATGCTTTTCCTAAGTAGTTGTGCCATGGCAAAACCTCAGTAAACATTTTTATTGTGTGAAGATTTCCTATTGGGGCTGGGGATGTGGCTCAAGCAGTAGCGCGCTTGCCTGGCATGCGTGCGGCCCGGGTTCAATCCTCAGCACCACATACCAACAAAGATGTTGTGTCCGCCGAGAACTAAAAATAAATATTAAAAATTCTCCCCCTCTCTCTCTCTCTCTCTCTCTCTCTCTCTCTCTCCTGTCTCACTCTCTCTTTAAAAAAAAAAAAAGATTTCCTGTTGTCTACATAAGAACTTAAATTTATAGTCATACCATATTTTTGGTCTAGTATACTTTTAAACACTTTGCTGGGTCACTCACTACACTGTTAAGTCTTAAATGAATAGACTTCTTATTTCTAAATGTCAAAATCATCTTTAAGGCATGAGGTTTAAAATCAGTTATTGAAGAAATTTAGCAACTGTGTTCCATTGTCTTAAAATGCTTCTTTATAAGGAGTTTGAAGTGTTTGTGTCATCACAATATTATTGAAATGAATGAGTTGACTTCCTTTTGATGAGGACTGCATTTTTTTTTTAAGATTCACATGTTCTGACATCATTGTATAACAACAAAAGAAAATAAGAAAACAGTCTTGTTATTTTTTGTCAACAGTACAATGTGGTGATGTTTCCTTTTTAGAGTTTTTTAAATACAGTTATCCGGTCTAGCCAAAGGAATATTTTCTAGATGTACATAATTGATGAAATGGAAACCAAATTCTAAAAATATCTGCTTAATAAGTATTCTCTATCTCTGAAATATGAGTTTTTATAGTTTTTGCTAGTACTGGGGTTACTACTTATTCATTATCCTGAGAGGTAAAATGTCAGAATATTAAGTGCAGTCTTAATCAGGGAAGATCCTGACCAATGGGATATGATTCTATTTTGAAATATGTTTTATGTTTTGTGTCTTAACACAGAAGGAGCAAAAAAATTTAAGTGTAATAGTCCCAGTGACAATGTACCTTGAGGTAGCTGAGAGAATTGTGTTGAATGAAAAGACAATTATATCTGTAGCTATAAGCTTCAAGTTTTTCCCCTTCTGAATTTTTTTTTTTACAGTTAAACTCATTACTCAGATCAATTATTGCACAGATGCACAATCAAACAAAACAGACAAAAATTGAGCTGAACTAGGTGAGTGGCAGATGTTAGGCTGGAGTCTCACCTGCAGAGAACACTGTTATTGTCTTTGATATAGCCCCTGAGGCTCCAGGGAACACAGTTTGACAACAAGTCATTGAAAGGAATGACTTCTAGTCCATTACTACAGGAATTTTTTAAAAAAGTTTCCATAATAGGGTATTGTGCAAGGTCAAAGGAAAACTATAGCTCATGTTGACAGAAGAAAATCAACTTGAAAACTGATTGTTAGGGTGCCTTTTTTCCTAATTAAAACTGAAGAAAGGACAACACATATTACTGTAACAGAAAAATGAATAACTCATGAATTCAGAATTACAACATTTCCAGTAATACTCCTTTTGAAGTACATTTTCTCTTTAAGAAAAAAAATGAGGCTGTTCTTAAAAAAATACTTTAAAAGTTTGTCAAATATTTTCTGTTGTTTATTTTTATTTAATCTGTTTTCAGAGAAGTACAGTTAAGGTATTAAGGCTTTATAAAGAAGATGCTAATCAAAATTGAAAAGCCTTAATAGTACTTTAATAGGTAATTGTAGCCCATAGGATGAAGTAACAGAAATAGAAGCCTTTGTTTTTATACAGTTAATTAATATTAGATGAGCACAAACCTTTAGGTAATAAAAACATTTATTTGTAAGACTAGTTCCTATGCAAAGATTTTCATGCCAGAATTCTAGAAGTTATTTCAGTGTTTGAGAAGAACTTTTGTGTAAGTTTAAAAATGCGTTATAAATGTTTATTTGAAGCAAATTACTTTTATAATATTACCTTAATATAAAGAGATGTTTTACCCCTCAAAGAAAGCAGGCAGGAATAGAAAATGAATTATAGTAACTATATCTTTCCCTTAATTTTTTCCCTGAGTTTGTCATATAGATGATTAATGTAGAAAATTATTTTCTTTTTAAGGTTGGAAAAATTAATTAGGTCTGACTTCAGATGTCTAGTTAACTTTGGAATTTTGAGAAAAAGTTACGAACTAGTTTTATTCAATTTCAGCAGAAAAAGTTCTTGACTAAAATATAATTGCTGCATTTTTTTTTTCTTCACTTTGCTCACTCGTCATTGCTCTATTCCCAGCACTTAGAACAGGGCCTACCATGTAATAGTTAGCTTGATAAATAGTTGTTAAACGAATGAATTTCATCAGTACTTTTGGTAAAATGTATAGTGTGAACCTATTGTTTGTTTTCCAGATAACAGGATTGTATTGGGGATCAGAAACTAAAATAATGGGAATCAGTAACTTGGTTAGCATATGCTTGTTTTAGAGATAATATCATGATGCTACATTTGATTTTCATACATTGATTGACTTCTTGAACAACTTACCATCTATTTTACCAACTGGGATACTTTTTAATTCTACAAAGTAGGTTTATAATTTTGCTCCACAGTTTACCTGACAGGGTAAAGGCATAGCAGGACCATTTATTTTGGGTAGACTTCCCCTGGTCTTATTGAGCTAAACAAAGTATTTGTATAAATCCAATTATGAACTAATCTGGAAGAAGAATGTCCCGTTTTTATAGCCATGGTAAGGCACTAATTGAACACTTGTTGAAATGGATTTTTCACACCATTTGCATCATAATCATCTGAATGCTTCGGTTATGAGCTTCTATGACCTTATTCTACTTATGTAATACTATTTTTTTATTTACTACATTCTTAAGTTCATGATATAGGAGAACGAAATCTGTAGTTGCACGTACATAATCTGTACCTGAGTTCCCTGGATGGGACCTAGGAAGTATTTGCCATAGAACAGATATATACCCTGACATTACAAATCCCAGAACACTATTCATAGGCTGCTTTTTAAAAGTTACCAATGATTTTAGCCACATAGTGACACCCTGTAGGCTCTTTCTGTTGGAGCCACATTTTAATAAAAACTGACAAGATGAATCTTGATATATAAAGATATACTGAATTCAGAATGAAGTCTCCTTTAATATGAGTTGATCCTTGCTAACTTCAACTAACAATGAAGTTTGGTGACTTGTTACATAAGGGATTCCTGCTTTCCTTCTAGTATAGAACCTTACTATTAAGTAGTAGTATTAACACTTTGGACTTTAAGTGTTAACACTTAATACTTTGGACACTACTACATTTTATTTGATTATAAGGCTTCAGTTATATAATAGGATTTCATAAACAAATGCTATATAACATCTGAATTTATTCAAAGATAACAAATAAAATTTTTAATCATTTGTAGAAATAGAATATGATTTAATATGGATTTTCTAATGCTGCTTTCTAGTTTATAAATTGTATTTTATGTTTATAGTTTTTTCAAAATCAAGAATTTCCTCAAGGGCATTATTTTATTGTTTTCACATTCCTTCCTGCTCTGTTAAGTCTAATGAGGTTTATCTGTCCTTTAGGTGACCTACAAACGAGATCTGTATGCGGCTGAATCGATTATTAAGGGTATGTTTGGCCTTGTGACTGTCAGTTCCTGTGTTTCAAAAAATGTAAGCCAGTTCAGAATTTCTCATGACAGTTTAAATCCCAGCCATCAAAGAAGGATAAATGCCTGTAGGCCACTGAGGTCTCTGATTTGTTTTTGAAAATAATTACATTTTATTGTGTTTCCTGCTTGTGAAATAATGTCGTCTTGGTTTAAATTTTTACAAAAGAAAGACTTTTGTTTATTAAGTATGTGACAGCGATACTGTTAGGAAGGAAACAGTGAAAAATGATATTTTAATACAGTTTTTAAAGTTGTCTCATGTTTACTGGTAAGATAACTGCCCCCATCCTTTAACACTGCCATATCAGTGAATTAGATATTATGTTCCATGTGAGAAAAATGTTTTCCATAAATTTGAAGAAATTGGACTGGATGATTTTTTAAAATTCCATTTTTTGTTCTAAAAATGAATGCAGTTTTCTTTTGTAATTTTAGATATTACATGTGATAACCACTTTCTTGTGTTTCCAGTGTTGTGACTCTAAATTCCATCTCCAAAATAGTCTACTTAATGACCACATGTGAAACTAGATCTAAATTTAAACTTATATTGAAGTACGAAAAAAAAGTAGTGAATCTGAATATTGAATGCATTGATTTAAATATTTGGGAAAACTTATTTATAACAATCATTTGAAGCCAGTTGATTTTGTTTTAAAGTTGTGCTTAATATTGTGTTAGGAATGTAACCAAGATGCAGAAGGAATATTCTTTCTGTATTTCTGCAGTTTTTATCCTTTAAATTGGGTTTCTCAATTTAAGCACCACACTGACATTTGAGACCAAATCTTTCTATGGTTTGGGTCTCTTCTGTGTTTCCCTCATTGTTTAGTCACATGCCTGGCCTCCACTCACTAGGTGCCTGAAGCACCCTTCATTTTTCACCTACTCCCTTATGTCAGAGATATCTCCTGCCAGTGCCAGATGTCTTCAAGGGCATACAGTTGCCCCTAACTAAGACCATGGTTCTAAATATAGTTTTAGCAAGATCAGAGGTGTTTCCCACTTCCATCTTGAAATAACTGTGGTGCTTTACAACAAGTTAGTAATTGATTTTATTTAAATAACAGATAGAACAATATGCTCAAATTTTGATTGAGATGTGAACTTATAAATTTAAGTTTATTGGTGGAAAAAAGTGAATATTAATTTTGAATGTGTCGGTTTATAGTTTTCAGAAATTTATTTAATAATTAATTGGCTTCATATGCAGAAAACTGAACTTCTTCTCTGTTCATGACAATATATTTTCAGTTTACCCTCAAGTTCTTGTTCTTCAAGCATATTTCATTTCAAACCATTAGCATATTGTGATTTGTGTATCTCTATGTATAAACATATCTATGACCATAAATCAAAGCATTGACATATTTATACAACAGCCTGGAATGTGTGACTAGTACTGTGGGACATGCTGGTTAAATCATGATGTGGTTGGTTATACTCTCAATGGAAATATAAAGCTCATTTTGATTTCTTTACAAAGTTGTATCTCTGTTACCTAGATAAAATGAAAATGGTCTCTAGTTTGAACAGTTAGTGTTTCAGTGGAGGATTTTACAAATTGCAATACATTTCCTACATGTTAACATTATCAGAGTAGACTTCTTACAATGTGAAAGCCTACTTTTTTCATTTTTTAATTTGTTCTAATTAGTTATACATGACACTAGAATGCATATTGACATATCATACACAAATGGAATATAACTTCTTATCCCTGTTATACATGATGCAGAATTATAATGGTCATGTAATCATACATGCATATAGGGTAATGTCCAGTTCATTCCATTATTACTGTCCTTCCCACTACATTTTAAACATAATTGCTGGGGGCTATGACTTTGGAAATTTTTACCATAGAGAAATTTTTTTGTTATTTAGACAACAAGTTCTTGTATACTATTATTTTAAAATTATTAATGAAGTATTCTGTTATTCTTAGGGAAAATAATTGGACTGACTACATAAGCAGCTGATTTAGCTCAACAAATTCAGTTTCTGTGTCCTCTTAGTACCAGAGCCTGTCCCAGGGACCTTACCTGGATCTCAACTGGCTGAATTTGGCCACCCACATACAAAGAAATAGGCAAAAGATGGAAAAAAGAAAAGTTAATTTTATGCAGTTTGATCAAACTAGGGAGAATCAGATTGCTTTTCCACTGGTCCCATAGAAGCGGTTAAAAATTATAGGAATAAAATCCAGTTGATATACATATGTAGGTTTAGCCTATGCTAGACAAGTCTGGGTAAGGGTGATCTTCATTCTCAGCTCCCTTGGTGTCCATGTGGTACTGGTCTTGGAAATCAGGATTGGGTCCATGTTCTTCCAGTATTAAAGATGAAACATCTGAGAAATGCTGAAGCTTTTGAAGTAGAAGACTTTTCCTGAGAGAAGGGGGCCCAGAGCTAGGTGTCTGCAGGAATGTGTGTGTCTTGTTCTTTTATAGGCCCTAGAACCCTCCTTTTAGTCCCTGCCTCCCTTTCTTCTCTGCATATATGCCTATGGGCAGGAAGAGGCAGGAGCACTGCGGGTGATGGATTGTTTGGGGAAGTGTGATCCTGGAGGTTAGTTGTTAGCAACCCAGTGATAACTACCCGTCATCCTTTCTTGACCTCCATCATTCCTTTTCTACACTGCCAGGTTTTCTGTCCCCTGGCTGTTTATTGAGGAATGTAACATTTCCTGTCCCGGTGGGCCAGGTGGGTTGTAGGCACATTGCTTTTTATAAGGAAAGCATGTGTGGACTCAGTACAGTGGGCTCATTTTATAGAATTGTTCTCTTAACCCTGTGTTCCTAATATCCTTGTCTATTTGTCCCTTTATACCTGGCAGTCCTATACTAGCAGCATCAGAAATTGTATTCAGTTTCAGAGGGGCCCTTAATTTCTGTGTCACTCTGAATTTTTTTTTTTAATCTAAAATCTTCCAAGGAGATTCTGATGCTACTGGTATCTTGCTCTGGGGCTTTCCTGTATACCCCTAGACTGGCAACATTGTAGTTACCTGACAAGTTGAAAGTAGAATTTTGGGCCCTACCGGATTCGATCAGAATCTGAAGAACTCTGGGTGACTACTTTGTACATTAAAATCCAGAAGCATTTTTCTAGGTTGCCCCTTAGTCCTTTATAGTCTTTTTATAAGGCAGCCTACTTGTTAAATTCTTTATTGTACTACATCCTTGAAGTCTAATTCTCCCTTACCAGCTGGAAATGCTTATTTGCTCACCTAGGATTACCCTCTAACTTCATAACTTATGCTAAATACCATCTCTGATAATTGAAATATTTCTGGGCACAGAGAAAAGAAGACTTTTTTGTCTATCTGAAAAAAAAATTCCAAAATATAATATGGTAGAAGACTGAGTTATATTTTCATCTGTTTTCCTTTTTAAAGTGTATTCATCAGAGTTATCTAGAAAAACAGAAGCAATATGATGTACATCAATACATATATAGATATACAAATATATCTGGTTGACTACCAGAGTTGATACTAGATTCAGAGTTTGTCATGGTGGGCACGTCAATGGTTTCTGTACTTCATTCTACTGGACTGTGATTTCTTTGGGTTAGGAACTGTTAAGTTCAGTGGGCCTGATGAAGAATGATTATAAAGTTAAGACTTAGAAGCTTCCTGCCAGTGCTTCAGTAAGCCTGCTGTATAGTCTTCCAGAGTGTTTGTTGCTGGCATGATGGGTGTGTGGGAACTAGATCATAGTGAAATTAGATTCCTAGACAAACCCAGTGAAAGAATAACAATAAAAATTCAATATCAGAATAATGATATTGTGTACAATTTGAATAATGATCAGTTAGGTACTATTTAATTGTTTGGATAAATCTGATAGCCTAATATTCATTATATAGACACAAGAGTTTTTCCTCTTTAGGACTTTTTTTTTTCATGCTATGTTATGAATGTTAGTATTCTAGAACTTGTCACTCCTGAGTTGCTTTTTCTCTTGAATCCTAATTATATATGGTCAACAAATATGCTGATAAAATTATTTTCTTAGTATTTTTCACACTAAACCATTTCTAAGATAAATGTCAAATCTCATTTCTTACCAGAGCATTTTGTGTCCTCAAACTTGTTACTAGAATAGTGTATGTATTTTGGTCAGTCTTAATTTACATTCACATCAATGTCTTTGATGCAGCATAGACATTTAGATGGTGGGAAAAATATGATTGCATTGATATTTGAGGTTAGGTTTGCTAACTTCAGGCAACCTTTTGATAGAAATCTCTCAATTGTAAATAAATGGTGAGTCTCCAAATCTTATTTTTAAGTTTACTATTTTTTTAGTACAAAGGATTGAACCCAGGGGAGCTTAATCACTGAGCCATATCCCCAACCCCTTTTATTTATTTATTTATTTTAATATTTTTTTGCATTTTTATTTGTATATAACAGTGGAATGTATTACAATTCTTATTACATATGGAGAATAAAATTTTTCATATCTCTGATTGTATACATAGTATATTTACACCAATTAGTGTCTGCATACATGGATAGTAATGTCCATCACATTCCACCATCACTAATTACCCCATGTCCCCTTCCCCTTCCACCCCTCTGTCCTATCTAGAGTTCATCTATTCCTCCCATGCTCCCACTCCCTATCCCACTATGAATCAGCCTCCTTATATCAAAGAAAACATTTGGCATTTGTTTTTTTGGGGATTGGTTAACTTCACTTAGCATTATCTCCTCTAACTCCATCCATTTACCTGCAAATACCATGATTTCATTCTCTTTTATTGCTGAGTAATATTCCATTGTGTGTATATGCCACATTTTTTTAATCCATTCATCTATTGAAGGGCATCTAGGTTGGTTTCACAGTTTAGCTCTTGTAAATTGTGCTGCTATAAACATTGATGTGGCTGTGTGCCTATAGTATGCTGTTTTTTATTCCTTTGGGTATAGACCAAGGAGAGGGAT